ATTCTCCATGAAGGTGACATAGTCGTCACGGTATCTTCTGTCGGCCATGAATCTTCTTTTGAGTTGTAACAAGCGACGAAAGGCTGACTCACGGTTGTTAGGAAGAACAACATTCGGATTCTTCAGGGGCAGGGGCAGTTCATAGTGGCCATTTTCTAGTTGGGTAATTCCTTCCCTGGCGATAGCGAGGAATCTTCTGTCTTCTTTTGAAAGCCCCGATCCAGGAATCGAATTCTCTGAGAAGTCCCGTTCGAACATTCGTGTCACTGCAAAAGGATTTATTTCTTCTTTAGTTTGGGAATTGAGAACGAAGCTGCGGTTGCTACAGCGGCCAGTATCAACTTCATACGCAAGGATTCGATTACAAGACGACGCTAAATGTTCTCCACAGTTCGGCTGGATACCTTCTAACGGACTGACGGGACCAATTATTCCCCATCCTAGGAGAGTGGGGACGGCATAAGGGTCTTCTCCCTTACCCAAAATAACTTCTTTAGGCTTGATCGCCTTCGGACAGTTGCAGCCAATTAGTAATCCGATTTCCAAGCTTTCTTGATACGGCATAATCTTGTCTTTGATCTTTTGGAGATGTGGCCACACAGCTGCAACTTCAGGACTAGGAATCTGGTCTCTTCTTGATGGTATCTGGTCTCTGGAGTACGTCCTGGGTAGCTCGACTTGAACGCGCTTGTCTATCCTCTCAACTACTAGCCCATCCACTCTGCAAACGTTGATTTCTTCAATTCCAAGCATGGTACTGAGGATAAGTTTCGAATTAACCCCAGGGATTCCAAGCTTATCTTTCACGTCCGTTTTGATAAACGTCGTGTCACTAGCGTCATCCAATAACGCATAAACCTTGACTTTAAGTTCGGGGTGACTCTTACGAAACACATAGACTGGGATGATTAAAGAGTTCGTTACAATGCCTTGCCCACTCACAGCGCTACACACACCGACATTGGGGTTGGAGATTGTACTGTCGTCGTTCGCGACCTCTGCACTTACTTGATGACTTTGGACCGGATCGGGCCGATATGATTCAGGAGTATTCTGGTTGCTAGATCTTTCTTTATAGGTAGGGTCATGAAGTGGAGTCGGATGCTGCCTACCGCATTTCTCGCAATTTAACCTAGCTCGACAGTTCTTCGATTGATGACCCCTTTTCAGGCATCCAAAGCAGAGGCCTTTCGATCTAACCAGTGCCAGGCGCTCGTCAATGCTCTTCCTGCTTAGTTCTCCGCACTTGTGAGGTGGGTGGTTACCGCCGCAGAAGACGCACGAACTTTGCTGTTTCGGCTCTTGCTCTGCATTAGGCCTTCCTCTGCTCTCCCTAGGCGGGGTACGAGAGGAAAACGATGCAAAACTGTTTGCTCCCTGACTTCTCATTATTCGGCTTCTGTCAGGCGCCTTGTTTTTTTTTTACTTTTCAACGCTTCGGGGAGAAAAACCGGATCATTTGCGAGATCTGCTTCTTCTCTGACAAATTCTACTAGATCGTGGAAGGATACCGTTCTCTCCGTTTTCTTCAGGACATCACGTGCTTGGCGACACCACCTGGAGCCTGACTTGAAGGGTAGTTTTGTGCTTACTTCCTGTAGTAACCTTGTTGAATTTAGATCTTCCATGTACTTCATGGACTGCATGGCTCCTTCACAACGGACAAGAAAATCAGAGAGATCTTGAAGACCGGAGCTATCTCCTTCGACGATCTGCGGCCAATTTCGCAATTTAGCCTTATAAGCTTCCGCTACTCGAAATGGGTTGCCGAAGCGCTGAGCCAAGAGCTTACGAGCTTCTTCATAACCTTTGTCCGAATCCCAGGTCAAGAAACCTTTCACAACTTCGTGGGCTTTGCCGGAAGTATACTTGTTCAAAAAATACAGTTTATCCTTTTCTGAGTCAACTTTCTTATCTATCATAGCATCGAAAGCAGCTATGAATGTCGGATAATCGAAATAACTTCCTTTAAAGACAGGCGGTTCTTGAGAAGGAAGCGTTCTAGCTCTTTGCTGGTTGACAATTAGAGCGCTTAATTCCGCTTGTTTCGCTTGGAGACTGACTATTTGTTTAAGAGTCGCTTCTTGATGTGTTGTCGGCTCGTCTCGCTTTGGAGCGAAATTGTGAACTTGACTAGCTTCTCTTATTGGCGGCGTCAACGGCGCGAAAGGAAGTGCTTCCGGTCTCAACAATGAAGGTTCATGTTTTATGACAGTTTTTCCGACATCGAATTTAGCTTCGCGGAAATTTCGTTCGAATCTCTCATCAGACTTCATATCTTCGCGAACTATGCCATTTTTCACTTCTTCGTTCATAACCAATTTGATAGCTTCCTCTTCAGCATCTGCTAAGGCGATCTCTCTTTCCAGCTGAATTCTTCTTAAATTGGTTTCCTGATCCAGGTACTTCATTTCGACCTTTAGCTTCGCTGCTCTGGTCGCCGCCTCTACTCTCTTTGACATGACCGACGACCTAGAAGATCTTGAAGAACCTGAAACCCTTGATCTTCCAGAACGGCTTGATTCAGTTTCTTGCCTATTAGATTCGAATTTTTCATGCTCTCGTTGTTCGACTGAACGAAGGATTTCGGACAGCCGCACTCGACATTCGATAAACTCCCGATCGCACAAATCGAAATATCGGTAAGCGGCACCTTTAGCGCTTTCATCATCAAGTAACTCGTCATAAGATCGGTATGCCTGGTTAAGTTCCTCTTTAATTACATCCAGGATTTGTCTTTCCTTTTCTAATTCTTCGGTACCCGGGTGGGAGTCGAGCAATGAGTAAATTCTTCCTACATGTTTACGCAATTTGTTTTCCACTTCTTGTTTCTTTAAAGCGCGAATTTCCAATTGATAGGCTCTGCCTTTGTCACTCAAAGTCCGCTCGTGCGGTTCTCTCAAATTTGGAGGATCGTGTTTCCTGCCACGAGGACTATTGGCTTCGTCTAAACTAAGATCTTTTAAATCGCATGGTTCATTCGGAATTTCAACTTCTGCTTGTTCCTTCTCCAATGAGAGGATCTTTCGAACTGTAGCTCGAGGCGATCGACTACCACTATCGCTCATCCTCAACGAATTTTAATTCCAGCCAAAGGCGTCAATTGGTGATATTTTACTGTTGCGGCAAACGAACATCAAGGCTCGATGAAATACCAAGAAAATCGTGACCGGAGAAAAATGCCAACCAAATCCAGGGGATATATTACAGGGACATAACTTTAATCAATCTCGTAAACTGTAAACGAATTAAAAAAAAGGGACATATAATAGATTGTATTCAATTAAACACGTGGCGACTTAACAGCGTAAATGAATCTAACATAATAAAAGAACTAACAAATGAACCAAATGCTACGGCAAACACAAAATATATATACAAATAAGGACGAAAGAGCTTGCTCGAAACGAGATAAACAACAAAAAGGCGAAAACAACTTACATATCAGTCCCTATACGCCGGTGGCTTGAAATAACACTTTATAAATTAACTTTGTATGCACTCCGAACATGAACAGGCGATTAATGAAAGCGGGAGAGAAAAACTATTTAAAGGAATCAAATGGCACAAAGGCCAACTGTAACGCAAATGTCACGCAAGTTCGAAAGTCACGCATTTACAAGACCAATGAAGATTACAAAGATAAAGAAAGGTAGAATGTGTTAGATCTTTAAATAAAAACTTTGAATTGATTTTTTTCCCCAGACAATAACCTCACGCCAGCTTATTGAGTTTGGAATTGAGATCTGCAAAGGAATGGATTATATCACTCAGAAAAAGATTGTTCACAGAAATCTTGCAGCAAAGAACTGCATGTAAGTATTTCTTATCTAAGTTTACCTTGTGTTTCATATAGTTGCCTTTTATCTTAGTTTTCTTCTTTTTTGCGAAGAATGTAGATGATTCAGGTTTGTAATGATCAGGAAAATAAAGATTTTTCAAACATTTGCACCCTATCTTATAGGCAATCTAATTTTAATAGTTTTCACTTTGCAATTGATAGTCACATGCCTTAGTTTACTGCTGGCGTACAGAGGCTGTTGCTCTGACTGAGTATTTGGGTTAATATATTTCCCTGCATTTTGAGATGATGATTTATAAAATAATTAAGAAGGGATTAGGTTTTCCATCTCAGGAAATCAGACTTATCTGAAAGTGTTTTCCTTTAGTGTCAATGATGATTTGAGTATCAAGATCACTGACTTCAGTTTGGCCAGAGATGTGAACACAACAAACTTGAATGACAAGGGAATACGGTCCAGATTACTTGTCAAATGGACAGCACTTGAGGGTTTAGCAGAGGAGGGTCAATTTTCAGAAAAAAGTGATGTGGTATGTTTCATTTCTTTTTCACTCTTTGAAGAAAAATTTGGTTTTGCCTGGCTTGTCAAAATTAGGACTCTTAATTTATATTGCAAGCGCTCAGCTGGTGGTTCATCATTAACTTTAAACATTGCATAAAGATTAAACCCTTTAGGAAGAGATGAATTTGAAAATTGTACTTGCAAGTTAAGAACAAATCAGTGTGCTTATTCTACACAGTGTTCTGTATACATTTCCGATAGAACTGCATAAGAGAATTTCTTTAACAATAAAGAACTACATAAGTTAGTGATTATTTATTTTTTATTCTCATGACCCTGATGTTTGGTTTAGTGGTTATACACTGAGGAGAATTTGGATGCTTATCACTCTTAGGGATTAAATTCTTATGAGTGGCTTACAGAGGAATATATCACCATTAGTAAAGAGAATTTGCTTGTAGAACATGGAAAGGAATCAGGGATACTTGAGCAATTGTTATCACAATGACATTGACTTTGCACAACAGCAACAGATTTTACAGGTTGTGATTTATTCCTTCACAGTGGTCATTTGGAGTTGTTTTATGGGAGATTGTACCTCTTGCTAAGGCACCGTATCAAGCTATTGACAGTTCAAAAATGGAGCAGCATCTGCTACCACATGATTTTTTCAGTGTTGCTTTTAGCACTTTTCTTTTCCAATGTTGTGTTTCACATGTCAATTGTTAAGTCATATGGTAAAATGAAAACTCATATTTCATTGGGAAGTTTTTGTTTCTGAAGGAAGCCCTGTGCACAGGAGCGTAATCTTCTGGAGATAGATCACAATTTTTTATTGTAAAGCTGTTCTTCAAATTAACATGCTATATTTTTTCATAGTGATTTACCATTGTTTTGCTGCTATAAAATTCTATGCCTTTTTTTTCTCTTGTGCTGTCTGGTAACATTGTTAAGTTTCCCTCGTTACATTTTACTGTTGCAGTATAACTGTGATTGGTGGCATTGGTTGTTTGGTTTCAAAGTTCACATGGAAGTCATTTTGTAAATACAGTATCCATTGTTCCATTTCCAATTTTTCAGGGACATGTTTTATATTCTAGTTATGCTTTGTTCATCTTGTTTGTTGAAAATCAACATTTGAGTAGGTATCATAAAGTTTTACCCCTTATTTGCTTCATCAGGCCATTCATTAGAAAACTCTATGTTTTTTGTTTGGTAAATCATATTTGGGTTAATAGTATCAAACAAGGTTTAACTTTGTCCACAGCATGTCATCAAACTTATTGCCTTCAGACCCTAAAGAGCTTATATTATTAATTAGCTAACCTACAAAATTAAATCACTATAAATTGTTATTTACTTAGTAAAAAGGGAGTATTTTTCTACTAAGTTTCCAAAAAAACTCCAATATTAACTTTTTTTAAAACATCATATTTGCTCACCAATCTTAACTTTGGTGGGTGTTGAATGTTTTCAAAAAAGAGTAGCGCAAGTCCCCTACCAGATTTGGACAATTTAAGGGCAACATAAAATTGCAAATAAGCTCAGTGTTTATGGTTTTGGAAAATGTAAATTATGTTTTCCAAGCCATTTTCTGAGACATATTGTTAGAAAATTCTGTTACAGGCTATTTTGTACATTTAACACAGTAAAATTTTCAAAACAGTTTGTTTTGCAACATTGTTTATGGAGATGCTGGGATTGGATCATATTTGTGAATTAGCAGTAGAAAGCTACTGCAAATGTTAATCTGTGTATGGAGCTTACTAGAATTGTAGTTTTCAAATTTGTTCTTTTGGTTCATGTTCAGATTTGTACAGTGTAATTAGTTTTTTTTTTTTGACGGGATGTTAGTAATAGAACGTCTCAAAAGTATAACAGAACGAGCGCATTTTTCTTTAGCGTATTGCATAATGTATGGCTTCTCTTTATAACTTAATCTCATAACACGATTGTTAATAGTGGTTGGTTAATTTTAATGCAGTAAAGTGTTGTGGAAAAACGTTGTTTCGGAGCCAAAGTTGAGCTGCTTGCTTAAAACATACCTTAGAATGAAGATATGTAGATACAGTATTAATAAAATGTTTTGTAAAGAAATAAACACATATCACGTTAAAAGTAATAGCCAAAAATATATATGATGTAAATAGTGATTTTAAGGTAACTGTGTCTTTGAATGGTGGATCCTTCTGGCAATAAACATGTAATTTAGCATTTCTTGTTGGGCATGAATTGTTATACGTTCTGTCAGAAATGATTTAGCTTTGGTGATGAGACTCTGAAGGTCACTTCAATTTTACATCTCATATTAGAGTTATGTTGCAATATTGAAGCACTTCATGCAACAGTTACTCTGATATGCAGTCTTTTCACGCAATGCGGGAGAGAGCGCATTGCGTGACGAGATAAACGACGGCTGCGAAGGAGAGGTTATGTTTCGTAACTCTGTACACCCCAACATCATCATGCAGATTCTCCATACTGTTCTCCATACATGTCTTAAGACTCTGACATAAAGAATTTGTTTCATAACCATCGAGCGCATCGTCAGTTGGTGATCATTTCCGTTTTTCTTGTGACCTTTATATTTCATTTTATAAATGATATTATTAAGAGAAATTAGATGCCTGTCACTTCTCCTGGGTTTAAGTGTTAAGCTGCATGAAAATCAGTCTAGGTTTGCGGCATCAATGAAAGTTTTGCGTATCTTTTGACGGCAAGTTACACTAACGGTTAAGATACTTTAAAACTCGGACATTTTTCGTGAAGGATCCACTGTTTTAAAATCATTTTGTTATTTTTGAGTGTTACTGAGTCACGATTGCATGACGTATGACGCAGGGTAAGAGCTTTTTTCACTCTTCTCACGGTGGAGAGGAGGTGGCACAGATTCAGACAATTAAATAATAAGTATTGCATTTTGAAACTTTTTTGCGCCATGCTTATTTAAAGAATCATTGAAAAAAACCTTGCGCTTAGGAAACACTCATCATTTATCGCCTCCCGTCCCTCCCTAGGAATTAATATTGACCGGTCCCTTGGCCTGAAACCATATAAATTATGTCATTTCACATCACTCTGCTTTCAATTCTCTATTGAGAGAACTTCATACCATGTTTCATTTCTTTCAGCCTAACTTAAAAGCTTTATGCCTTCACCTGCCATGAAATAGAACAAGTAAGCAGCAGTTTTGATCGATAAATTCCTCGTGAAGATTCACGTTGGTCGGCGATCCGGCGACTAGCATACTCTGGTAGCCGATCAGAACATAGGATTCGCCAAATCTTTCCGGCCGCTCGAATAGACAGCCATAATTTGAAGGTGTATTTCACTAGTTCCGTTCATGCAAGTCCAACATATCAAAATCCAACAATCAGAGATGAATTGTCGGCTATGAGAATCGAAGTGTTAATTTGGTTGAAAAAAAACAACTGCCCTTCATTCAGTATGTCGTAACGATTAAAAATAACTGCTTTTTATTCACAACAGCGTTCATCTCAACATCTTAATAATTTTAATAAAATAACTGGTCTAGGCAACAAGTTTTACAGAATAAGGTACAATACCAGAAATCTAACGAAGTCCGGTAGAAATTCTTGCACCAAAATGTCACTAGTAACTCAGTGCGCTCGGATTAACCTTCTTAACTCCTAATCTACAATTTTTTTCCCTACAAAATTATGGGATATGTGGCCTTCCCTTTAAACTCGAAGGGGTATTTTTAACTTGAGGGCCATCATCAAAAATAGATCTAGAATCCTAGACTAGACAGCTGTAGACTGCTTGTGTGACCAGCTATTAAAATCGTTATCGTCGCTGAAAATAGGAAAATGCTAGTTTCTCGAGGAATTAGTTTAATGTAGTCAAAAAAATTAGCGTTGCCCCGATGTCGATATATATATATATATATATATATATATATATGTATATTGTATATTGGGCATGGAGATCACTTTATAAAAGTACTTGAGATGGTTCCCCGCGAAAAAAACAAACAAATGAAACCGAAAAAAGATTTTGAAAATCTTTGAAAACCTTACCCTTAACGTTTTATCATCATGCTTGAGATTACATATGATTTCCGGACAAAATCATAACAATTAAGTTCGAGTATACTTTTAACCTTGAAAAAAACTCTGCGCATTTGATATGATAAAGAGCCTCTTATAAAAAGTTACTCCATATTTGCTAGGGCTACACGACATTACTTAAAATTTAGTTTGCTTAATAAATTAATCGCTTTCGAAAAAAATTAGTTACATTATGCTTGGCTGGATTATTTAACTATTCCCTTTCGAGAAAGGAGTTTGAGTTTGCTCAGTAACTGCTTAAAGTTCATCATCTCTACTTTATGAATTGTCCTGTCCCTGGCGCGCTCTTTACAAGAATGTTTTGTTGAATGCTTAAAATTTAGCTCGCAGACTTCTTTCGCAAATGGCTTCCCCTTTCTATACGGTGGCAATTAACAGTTCTTGTTCTAGCTTTAATCGGTCCAGCACATTCCGTTACAGCGGGTTTACTTGACTCCTGGCTATTTGGTTGTAGTAGACACAGGCCAATTTGCAAAATCAAACGTCACGTTGTCGCCAATCAGCATAAAAGAAGCCCACTTAGAGACCTCCACAAAGCCATTGTTTCTCATCCATTTCCTGGCCTCGTGAAGAGATTCACTGGCGCTTTCACCGCGGAACAAGTGCTCGTAGAAACAAGTCATGAACTTCTCTGTGGCTGTGTCATCTATGGCCCACCGTGCCGCCAAGACTGAGCGAGCACCGGATCCTAAGAACGCTCGAACGATTCCAATAATGCCCTCGGCTTTAATCTGTCCACGTGCACTGTGACAACAGCTAAGCACAACCAGTTTAGCTCGCAGCTTAATTCGTGAAATGTCCTCCATCGTCAAGAGGAAGGCTTCTTCTCGTGGAACATAGTCAGCGGGACACTCAGGAGAAAGGACAATCTCTCCTCTTTCAGCATCACCATGGGCAGCTAAATGGATCAGACTCACTGAATGTATTGCTTGAAGTACAGCCTGCTTTGTCGCGCGATCTCCAATCAAAGGTGTCACGCCAAGAAGTCTTCCAATCATCTCTGCTTCCTTTCTTGCACATGTCAATCGTGTTATATTCTTGCGTCTTCCCTTGTAAATCACCTCTCCAACCTGAGGGTCACCGACTATCAGTGCACCTGTTTGACTGTGATAGTATGGAGGACTGTCCTGAATAAGTTTGAGAGTTGCCAAAGAGGGAACAATGCGTAACCTGAATGTCTCCGATACAAATTTTCCTTCATCGTCCGTTAAAGCCGCAAATGGTACCTGGTACATACAGGAATCAGGGACAATGATAATTTCGGGCTCCTTCAGTAAAGCGGCCACAGGAGTGATGATTATCTTGTGGCACAATTGAAGATTCGTCTTGATACCTTTGTCATCACAATCGCGCAGGAGCGCCTGATTTTCATGGTAAAGTGACATTGATTCGGTATCATCTAGAGATCGATCTTCGCAATTCTGTGCGGGTAAAATGCCAAGGCTGCGAAAGCTTTCCGTAAAAAACTCATCCAAGTCAGGGACTAATCCGGTCACCAAATTTTTGTCCAGGCTCACTTCCTCATCTGAAAAAATGATAGCCCCTGTAGTTTTGAGAATCCAGTAGCGCATATCCTTTTCTCCAACAGAAATGTAGAGGCATGCACAGTCAGTTTCCTTTGCGACAATGTTTTGAATCCCATACCATGATTTTGGATCGCCTGAGATCTGCTCTACAATAGAGTACCGAGCTCCCATCAAGTCGGCCAAGCCCCTCGCCCGTCTCAACTCCTCGACATAGAGAGCGTCGTATGGTTTTGCCTTGGAAGAGAGCAAGCTACTGAGCAACTTGTAGGGAAAGGTGCCGTGCGTTTCCAAAAGTGATGTTTTAAGCTGATCATTTTCTTTCAGAGATCCTCGCAACGTGTCGAAAATTTGAATGGTTTGGAAAAGAAACGAAAAGGCTTCTTCAAGATCAAATTGTGATACCTTCAACACCGTTAGACCAAGAAGGCATTGAAACTCACGCAAGCTGTGTCCAATATCCCTGCTTAATGAGAGAGCCTTCTTGAAGTATTCCTCGGCCATGTCATATTTACCGAGCCATTGGAAGCACGATCCTATAAGTGCGTAGTCGACAACAACATCTTCTTTCATACCATTTTCCATGTGAATTTCAAGGGCTTTCTTGTGATATTCTAGAGCATTGTCGTACTCACCACGCTTACAAGAAATCCTCCCAAGGTTTCCGAAATGTCCTGCTTGTCCATTTCTGTCACCGATTTCCCTCAAATTGCCACTGCTCTCTCTAGAAAATCTTCAGCCTTTCGATATTGACCAAGGGACAGAAAAAAATAATGTAAGGTTTCCATAAATGTCTGCCTCTCCTTTTCGTTTGCCAATTTCCTGTAAATACGTAAGGCTTTCTCTAGGTATTCTCGGACCTTGTCATATTCGCCAAGCAATTGAAACAGTGTTCCGAGGTTCCCGTAGTTTGTTGCTTCTCCTTCTCTGTCACCAATTTCTATTTTCATAGTAAGTGCTTTCTCTAGGAATTTTTGGGCCCCACCATATTTGCCAAGCGATTCGAACACCATTCCAAGGTGCCCGTAGCTTGTTGCTTCTCCATTTCTGTCGCCAATTTCTATTTGGATAGCGAGAGCTTTTTCCAGGTACTCATGGGCCTTGTCATATTTGCCGATCGATAGGAACACTGTTCCAAGTTTTCCGTAGCATGTTGCCTCTCCATTTCTGTCGCCAATTTCTATTTGGATAGCGAGAGCTTTCTCCAGATATTCTTGGGCCTTACCATTTTCGCCAAGCAATTGAAACAGTGTTCCGAGGTTCCCGTGGTTTGTTGCTTCTCCTTCTCTGTCGCCAGTTTCTATGTCCGTAGTAAGTGCTTTCTCTAGGTATTCTCGGCCCCACAATATTTGCCAAGCGATTCGAACACTATTCCAAGGTGCCCGTAGCTTGTTGCTTCTCCATTTCTGTCGCCAATTTCTATTTGGATAGCGAGAGCTTTTTTCCAGGTACTCATGGGCCTTGCCATATTTGCCGATCGATAGGAACACTGTTCCAAGTTTTCCGTAGCATGTTGCCTCTCCATTTCTGTCGCCAATTTCTATTTGGATAGCGAGAGCTCTCTCCAGATATTTTTGGGCCTTGCCATATTCGCCAAGCAATCTGAACAGTGCTCCGAGGCTCAGGTAGATTGCTGCCTCTCCATTTCTGTCACCAATTTCTATTTTGATAGCGAGAGCTTTCTCCAGGTATTCTTTGGCTTTGTAATATTTCCCAAGCGATTTGAACAACGTTCCGAGGTTCCCGTAGCTTGTTGCCTCTCCATATCTTTCGCCAATTTCTATTTGGATAGCAAGTGCGTTCTCCAGGTATTCTTGGGCCTTGTCATATTCGTTAAGAAATCTGAACAGTGTTCCAAGTTTCCCGTAGATTGTTGCTTCTCCATTTCTGTCGCCAATTTCTATTTGGATAGCAAGAGCTTTCTCCAGGTATTCTTTGGCTTTGTAATATTTCCCAAGCGATTTGAACAACGTTCCGAGGTTCCCGTAGCTTGTTGCCTCTCCATATCTTTCGCCAATTTCTATTTGGATAGCGAGAGCTTTTTCCAGGTACTCATGGGCCTTGCCATATTTGCCGATCGATAGGAACACTGTTCCAAGTTTTCCGTAGCATGTTGCCTCTCCATTTCTGTCGCCAATTTCTATTTGGATAGCGAGAGCTCTCTCCAGATATTTTTGGGCCTTGCCATATTCGCCAAGCAATCTGAACAGTGCTCCGAGGCTCAGGTAGATTGCTGCCTCTCCATTTCTGTCACCAATTTCTATTTTGATAGCGAGAGCTTTCTCCAGGTATTCTTTGGCTTTGTAATATTTCCCAAGCGATTTGAACAACGTTCCGAGGTTCCCGTAGCTTGTTGCCTCTCCATATCTTTCGCCAATTTCTATTTGGATAGCAAGTGCGTTCTCCAGGTATTCTTGGGCCTTGTCATATTCGTTAAGCAATCTGAACAGTGTTCCAAGTTTCCCGTAGATTGTTGCTTCTCCATTTCTGTCGCCAATTTCTATTTGGATAGCAAGAGCTTTCTCCAGGTATTCTTTGGCTTTGTAATATTTCCCAAGCGATTTGAACAACGTTCCGAGGTTCCCGTAGCTTGTTGCCTCTCCATATCTTTCGCCAATTTCTATTTGGATAGCGAGAGCTTTTTCCAGGTACTCATGGGCCTTGCCATATTTGCCGATCGATAGGAACACTGTTCCAAGTTTTCCGTAGCATGTTGCCTCTCCATTTCTGTCGCCAATTTCTATTTGGATAGCAAGAGCTTTCTCCAGGTATTCTTGGGGCTTGTCATATTCGCTAAGCGATATGAGCAGTTGTCCGAGGTTCCCGTAGACTTTTGCCTCTCCATCTCTGTCGCCAATTTCTATTTTGATAGCGAGAGCTTTCTCCAGGTATCCTCGGGCCTTGTCACATTCGTCAAGCGATATGAACAGTATTCCAAAGTTCCCATAGCTTGATGCTTCTCCATTTCTGTCGCCAATTTCTATTTGGATAGCGAGAGCTTTCTCCAGGTATTCTTGGGCCTTGTCACATTCGCCAAGCGATATGAACAGTGTTCCAAGGTTCCCATAGCTTGTTGCTTCTCCATTTCTGTCCCCAATTTCTATTTGGATAGCGAGAGCTTTCTCCAGGTATTCTCGGGCCTTGTCACATTCGCCAAGCGATATGAACAGTGTTCCGAGGTTCTCATGGCTTGTCGCTTCTCCACTTCTGTCGCCAATTTCTATTAGGATAGCGAGGGCTTTCTCCAGGTATTCTTGGGCCTTGTCATATTTGCCAAGCGATATGAACAGTTGTCCGAGGTTCCCGTAGCCAGTTGCTGCTCCATATCTGTCGCCAACTTCTATTTCGATCGCGAGTGCTTTCTCCAGGTATTCTTGGGCCTTGTCATATTTGCCAAGCGATTGGAAGACTGTTCCGAGGCTCCCGTAGCTTGTTGCCTCTCCATTTCTGTCGCCAATTTCTATACTGATAGCGAGAGCTTTCTCCAGGTATTCTCGGGCCTTGTCATATTCGCCAAGGGATTGGAACACTGTTCCGAGGTTCCCGTAGCCTGTTGCTTCTCCATTTCTGTCGCCAATTTCTATTTGGATAGCGAGAGCTTTCTCCAGGTATTTTCGGGCCTTGTCACATTCGCCAAGTGATATGAACAGTGTTCCGAGGCTCTCATAGCTTGTTGCTTCTCCACTTCTGTTGCCAATTTCTATTTGGATAGCGAGTGCTTTCTCCAGGTATTCTCGGGCCTTGTCACATTCGCTAAGCGATTTGAACAGTGTTCGAGGTTCTCATAACTTGTTGCTTCTCCACTTCTGTCGCCAATTTCTATTTGGATAGCGAGTGCTTTCTTCAGGTATTCTCGGGCCTTGTCATATTTGCCAAGCGATTGGAAGACTGTTCCTAGGCTCCCGTAGCTTCTTGCTTCTCCACTTCTGTTGCCAATTTCTATTTGGATAGCGAGTGCTTTCTCCAGGTATTCTCGGGCCTTGTCACATTCGCTAAGCGATTTGAACAGTGTTCCGAGGCTCTCATAGTTTGTTGCTTCTCCACTTCTGTTGTCAATTTCTATTTGGATAGTGAGTGCTTTCTCCAGGTATTCTCGGGCCTTGTCACATTCGCTAAGCGATTTGAACAGTGTTCGAGGTTCTCATAACTTGTTGCTTCTCCACTTCTGTCGCCAATTTCTATTTGGATAGCGAGTGCTTTCTTCAGATATTCTCGGCCTTGTCATATTTGCCAAGCGATTGGAAGACTGTTCCTAGGCTCCCGTAGCTTCTTGCCTCTCCATCTCTTTCGCCAATTTCTATACTGATAGCAAGAGCTTTCTCCAGGTATTCCCTGGCCTTGTCATAGTCGCCAAGGGATTGGAACACTGTTCCGAGGTTCCCGTTGCTCTTTGCTTCTCCATTTCTGTCGCCAATTTCTATTTGAATAGCAAGTGCTTTCTTCAGGTATTCTCGGGACTTGTCGTATTTTCCAAGCGATTTTAACACTCCTCCTTGGTCCATGTAATTCGTGGCTATGCAACTTTTGTCACCAAGTTTTATGTTAATTGCAAGTGCCATCTCCAAATATTCTTTACCTTTCTCATATTCTCCTGATGAACACAGAAGCAGTCCTAGTCCTCTATAACAATCTGCTTCTCCTCTTCTGTTTGCGGTCGTTTTCATCACGTTTATTGCTAATTCAAGAAATTTCTTTCCCTCTTCAGGGTGAAGTAAAAGTTCCTGAGGTATTCTTCAAAACCTGGTGAATTGCATAGAGTGAACCACGCCCTTTTCACTGTGGTGCGGATGCGTTCTTCAAGTGATTTGGCAACTGGACTGGCCGCGCTTAAATCACCGTTGTTTAGTAAAATCAAACTTTCTTGGCACAACTCAATGGCTTTCAAGGCCAACCCAGTGTTGAGAAGGAAAATGGCGACAGTCATACCTATTTTGATAGCTAACGTGGTAAATTCTTCTTCTGTGTTATTCATATCGCCTTGATCACTGTAAGTTTGAGAAAAAATGTAGGTCAGGCATATGACACTCGAAAGATCATGTAAAAAGGTTTGTGGGTGCTAAACTTCATCAGGAACCTTGGTTTTCTCATTTCGAGGTCCTACCCTGTATTGAAATGAAGCGTTTACAAGACTAGAATCAGCATGAGTATAATTGCATTTTCTGGTTCATCTTAAAAAAATCTGACGTTCATTTAATGATTGCGCCATGCGCGTTAGAAAATTTTGCTAGAATGAAGTTGGGGTAACTGCATTTACATGATTGAAAGCAAGTTTTTTTTTTAATGTTACTCCGTCATATTCACTCGATGTTTAGTTACAGATCTAACTGGATTCTTCTTCGACTCTTTTCACTTCTTTTCGTCAGGAATCTTCGTGACCTTGAGTCATAAATCCAATTTTGTGTGGTAGAAACACACACTGACGAGATATATTACCATTTGTTTCACTGAGGTGTTCATAAAACTGTCACGCACATCACCGAGATGCTCATGACGATGTCACACAAATCACTGAACTTATTGTTTGAAGTTCCGGGCTCATTTTGGTGCAAGCAAAGAAACCTATATGTAATTTTCATTAGGAAAAAGGAAAAAGCCATTGTCACACTTTTTGCTCGCAGTTTTCATTTTTCTTCAAATCACCACAAACTGGAACTACAAGTGGTAGATACTGGGTCGGGGGGGTTCGAAGGGGATCAATCAGTTGTATTTCATTTCCTGCCCCACAAGTCATGATTGTAAAACATTCAGTCAGTCATCACGTACAAATACCCTACCTTTTAAAGACAGAAGCTTCAATTGTACTGCGATCGATCCTGTGATGAAAATCCAACCGTTTAAACGAAATGAACACTAGCTGGGGACTGACGTTTCCTGTAAAACAAAGTAAATTGTTTCATTTTGCATGCTCAAATCCATCAATTAATGTTTATCAAAGTTAGACTAACAAAACCGAAATACAAATACCTAAACCGGAGAACTTGAAGCTCGGAGTGGTTTGCTGAACTTTTCTTTTTTCCACTAAGATGAACACTTTCAAGGTAAAATAATCGTCTTGTGGAAACTCACGCTATAAACATCATCTGTTTTGCTTATATAGTAATATACATAGTGTCTTTGTTATTGATGATGCAAATCGCACTCATTAGAAAATGAAAAGTTCATCAGTAAAGAGTCGATCATCACACTCAATCACTGAAAAATACCCTATTTAATTGTACTGTGATCGATCTCGTGATGAGAATCCAACCGTTTAAAAGCAATGAACATTTAAGGGCTGACGATCCCTGTACTAAACAAAATACAATTTTTTCAATTTTTTTTCTTTTCATTTTTGCATGTTCAAATGCATCATTGTTTATAAAATTCAAAATTTTCCACTTATGAATCAGGAAAAAGTTGATGAATTTATTAATTCTTTCATGATTGGACTTCTAGGCTCACAAGAAAATCCTGCCCGAGGTTGGCCCGAGAATTTGGGTGTTCTAGACATCAAAGTATTATCATCATTACTGCATGTATTCGTCATCGCTTTTATGGCGCGTTGTAGTGCTCTCGAATTGCTAGTTTCATAGCCAAAGCGTAGCGGAAATAAAACTGTGAGAATAACAGGGATGACCGATGGGACTTCTCAGGAGATTAGGTTCAAGGATCCCGCGTCATAAGTATGGTCCAGGTTCATGCCCCTTCTCTCCACTCCCCAGAATGTTATCAATTATTGTATATTTTTAGAGAGTGTTGATCTAATGTCACCCACTCGTTACTTTCTCTAAGGCTTACCTAGATTAACACTTAAAAGGGTAACTCTTAGTAAAGTGATCATCTTAGAGAAACTCGCACGCTTAACTTTATCCGTTTTCCATATTTAGTAAATTACTTAGTATCTTGATCATACAAATCACATCCACAAGAAAATAAAAAGTCTTGAAGAGTGGAATATCGCGGAGATGGCTCACCTTTTGAAGGCAGAAGGTTCACTTGCACTTTGATCAATCTTGTAATAAAAATCCAAGCGGTCAAAAAGAAATGGGGACTAAAGGCTGACGTTCCCTGTAAAATCAAGGAAACTTTCATTTTTGCATGCTCAAATCTGTCATTAGTTATATAAATTAGATACAAAAAACCGAAATACATGAACTGAAGAGGGAACATTTTTCACTATCTTCATTCTGGAGAACGAAAATATACCAATGTCATTTATCCTTCCTTAATACTCTATTCCGTCCTTCTCAAGATTAGCTCGACAGCGCGACGTGCAGCAAAAACTTTGACGAGGTCGGAACAGAATATATCTCTACAGAAATCAATTTTACCAGCGCTAGTGATATGCCATTCAGTCGATCGCAGAATTTTTTAATATTCAAAATGGTACTTCAAATTTTTAATTCGACCTCGCTATTTGTGATTGTCTTTCTATTTGATAGACATTACCTGTCAGTTTTACCTCTCATAGATCAGTACATTGAATATAGCATGATAGAACAGTGACACTCTAAACAAAAATGATTTGTTTAAGCTATGTAAAGGCACTAACGGTCATAGTCAAAGCGAAGCAGAAATAAAATTGTGAGAGTAGCAGGGGTGACTGATGCGACTTTCATGCGGAGATTAGGTTCAAGGATCCTGCTACATAAGTTGGTCCAGATTCACCTCCCCTCCCTCCCCTCCCCAGAATGTTATCAATTGTTGTACATTTTAGAGTGTCGATCTATGTAGATCCTAACTCTAATGTCACCCACTCGTTACTTCATCGAAGTCTTATCTTGATTAACACTTAAAAAGGTATCTCTTAGTGAAGTGATAATCGTAGAGAAACTCGCAGGATGAAGTTCATCCGTTTTCTTGATTTAAGAACTTACTTAGTATCTTGATCATGAAAATCACACTCAATAGAAAACGAAAAGCGTGGAAAATCGCGGAGATGGCTCACCTTTTGAAAGCAGAAGCATCAGTTGTACTTTGATCAATCTTGTAATGAAAATCCAAGGGGTCAAAATAGATGAACACCAAAGGCTGACGTTCCCTGTAAAACAGAATAAATTGTTTCACTTTTGCATGCTCAAATCCATCATTAGTTATATAAGTTAGTTATAAAAAACCGAAATACATGAACAAAAGAGGGAACATCTTCCCCTATCTTCTGTCATACAGTTAACCACCTCCGCTACTCCGTTCAGTTTTTTCCTAACACATGTCAGCTGTCACTCACAAAAAATGCCAATAGAACGTGATCTTATGCTTCTTTCTGTCACTTTCGCAGTCATTCTCGTCCCCAGGCTTACCGTTTCTTTTGGCCCGTGGCCCTTTTGTGCTGAGCCAGTGGAAACTCAGACATCAATTTTTTTTTTCAACTAAACCACCAAACTCACATGATTACACTTGATTAGACAGGATACGTTAAAAGAGCAGTAAATGAGATGACCAGTTTATTCTTTCTTAAAACTTATCATTGAACAAAGCTATTTTATATATAATACTCCTCTGGGCATAAACAACAAAAAATTCCATAACTTATAATTAACTTCCATCAGAGTTAGCAAAAGGACTCCACTAACTCTGATTGGCTTTATTCTTTTAGGTCGTATTCAACTTTTGATATAAGATAGCAGTGCAAAAAAACTTGAAAATGTATTGCTTGAGGAAGAAGGCAGTCAGTCATGAAAGTTCTTTTCTGTTTTCCGGGCTGATTGACAGGTCTCAACAACGTCAAGTTTACATAGAGCTCAGCTCCAGGCCCTCAATATAAGCGCTTCGGCACGCGCGATTCTTAGCCTACAGGAATTTAGGAGGCCTGGAGCGACGAGAGCCGGTGAGAGGTCTGTAAGGGGCGTAGCATTGATAGCATAAGTGCCAGACAAATCTCGGCAAATCTATCCTCGACTGTCTCAAATCTTCCCGCGGGCGGATAAATGCGTATCCCGCTGCGCTAATGGCGAGGGCCTGCTTTTTGAAAGTCCTCCTATATCGAGAATGATGTTTTTTTCGTCTTGTCACGAGTGTGAGACAAAGAAAAAATTCTGAGTCTTCACGAGGAATCGAACCTCAGACCTTCGGATTCAACGCTCCGGTGCTCTACCACTGAGCCACAGAGACTTCACGGTGGCGAGGCGCGTTGAGGTCTGTTACGAAGTTGAAAATTCCTCTTATATCCTTAAGCACTTTGAAGATATTAACAGATAACTCCTCCCTGCGATCCTAATATGTTATTATTGGTTAGATTGTGTTATCGTGATTTGGAATCAATTCTCTTGCATAAGAAACAAGGATATGTATGGCAGTTAGAAAGGAGATTTAACGATTGGATCTTGGGAGTTAAAGGGAGTTAAAGGGCCAAGAGAGCTTACAAGGGCAGCTGGGAACCTGCGGAAGATCGGTGTTGCTTCGGAATCAAAGCGAATTTTATATTGGACACACTTGATTTCACTCAAACCTTCAAAGACATTTTCCTCTTTGGTGTTTTAGGCGGTCTTCTAGATGTTTTTAACCAGACTTATACGTAGGCTTGATTTAAACCCGTAAACGAATTGCTTAATGAATGAATTTTTCTTTGTACTCACAAGTCAGGTCATCTCTTTCTCGGCTTGCAATTCTCCTGCATAAGAAACAAGGATATGTATAGCAGTTAGTAAGGTAAATTAACGATTGGATCTTGGGAGTTAAAGGGCTGAGAGAGCTTTTAAGGCCAGCTGGTGACCTGCTGGGGGTGGAATGTGGGAGATCGGTGTAGCACCAGCATCAATTTGGACACACTTGATTTCACTCAAACCTTGAAAGACGTTTTCCTTTTCGGTTTTTAGGCGGTCTTCTAGATGTTCTTAACCAGACTCATATGTAGGCTTGATTTAAACCCGTAAACGAGTTGCTTAACGAGGATGAATTTTTCTTTGTACTCACAAGTCAGGTCATCTCTTACTCGGATTAGCAACAAGTGGGTCTGTTTGTGCGATACTGGCGATACTGAGAAAGAATTTTAACATCGAGGACCAACGAAGGAACCTACGATTCTAGAGCCGAGAGAGCACTGGTGAACATTTTTGGCGAATTCCTTGGGACACCTCTGCAATCCCTGGTAACACCAGTTTAAGGATGAGAGTATTACGCTTCAGGCATTAAGTTGAGTTAACTCACCACCAACAGTCATCTCTCGTTGGCGATTCTTAGGACTGACATATTGGATGGTCGCTCTACCTCAAGGGTAATTGTTTCCTACTTTCCGTTCTTTTTTTTTCTTAATGACTTATTAATCTCAACGTACATGTTAACGGTTGCTGGCGATGGCTTTGATAATACGATCACTTGGACGATTCCGTTATACGATCGACCTTCGGGAATAATCGGATGTATTCGGACTGTAACGACCAGTTCTCGGACAAAAACATCTCTGATGACAGGTTGGTAAGCGGTATCAATGGCGCTCGGAATGCTGTAAAGAAAAAGCTGGATTTGCATGCAAGTACTTGGTTATTGTGCAACCCTGAGAGGCCTGTTTCCCTTTTGTAAGAAATGTCCATAAGAAGAAAACCAAGCAAGTACGGTGTGTCATCTTCTCACGCGGATGAAGACGCTCTACCAACAGCAAATCAGACAAGTTTCTTCCAAAAGGGACGCGAATTCGAAAGTCGCTATGTAAATCACCATTACACGGAGGAGGAAAAGGAGAAGCTCGCTACATTTGAAAGTGTAGACTATCTACCTCCTCACAGTGCTGTGTACAAGGTCAGTGAGCGACTCTGAAAGAAGTAAATAGCGAACGCCACAATTCAGCGCGGTCAAGGGTAGGGTGAGGGTGTGTGCATCGTAGGTTGCTTCCGGGAAGGTCAAGGCAAAGCTCTTGCACGTTTCTCGATCTCAAAGTTTGCATTCCAACTAGAAATTTGCAGAGAGAATGATTTACCGTTTTAGGTGGATATACGTTACAGAACTGAGGTGCTTGACTCACTTAAATCTAGGGTGTCGAATTCAAAACATTTTCCTTGTTAGTGCATGTTATGGCTTAACCCAAGATCTGATTGTTAATTTTCCCTTAAGCTTCTACACATTTCTTTTTAAGGAAGGTACAAGAATTTGGTGTTAGATCAAGATGAAAACTTCTACCTGACAAGTTTTGAGTATTCTCATTACCTGTTTGCTGGATAACATATAGATATTGTAGGAAGGAGTTGCATGTTAATCACTTCTGGAGGTTGAAGGGGTTAAGCTTGATGTGTATAATAACACTTGAACCCAGCGTTTACCTGCTTTAAGGGCCATACACTCCATAACTCAGTTTGTTTAAGTATCTCGCTTAATGGACATTGTTTTGAATGGGTCCAGGGTTTAAAAGGCCTCATTGGCATGTACACTTCCCCTAAAAAGAAACTCTTTGTAAGTGTCTCCCTCCCTCACCCCCACCCCACTGAGGTTGTACCTTTAGACTAGACCCAAATATCATTCCTTTTCTAACTTTTTGTCACAAATACCAAATGTTAGTTCATGTGTCATGATGGGATCTATGAATATATTTACACACCTATGACCTTTTAATTTTGATTGGCCATCCCTTTAAAATGTTTCACATCCAACAGCTCAATCAACCCATAATTTTGGAAAATAAGGAAAAAAATTCCAGATACACTGTCTTTCAAACAAATTTTAAACTTATGAATACCTTTACTTTCTGTATTTTGTAAAATACATGTGGCCAAGACTTTAATTTTATTTTTAAAAAAATCACAATCAATTTATGAAATTAGAAATTTCATTAGGGGTAAACCACTAACAAGGAAGAACACAAGGAAGACCAAGTGACCTACTTTGATTAGGGAAACAGGGATGCAAAACAAAAAAAAAAAACAATTGAAGAGGATGGCCATGTTTTTATTCATTCATCAACCTTGTTCCTAAGTTCTCTCTTCTTCCCTTCCTTTGAAGCAAGAGAGAGGAGGAGAGGAAGAGAGAGCCTGGGAATGAGACTGTTTGTTCATTGGATTGATTTATTTGTTAATTCTAGAACTGGCTAAAGCAGCAGCCATCATGTTTTGATTGGGACCAGGGGGTGATGATGGGAATGATCAGATTCTCAGTTGGATTTATTGGATTTCTTATAAATGCATCAACTTATTGATGTCATATCAAAGTATGTCTTGCTAATGTTGTCTTACAAGTATTATGCATGTCTTTTAGGAACAAAAAAAAAATTAATATTCTTTTTGTGTGCAATATAACTTGATGAACACAATCATACAATTTTATGTTTTATGTATAATTATCTTGGTGTATACAATTCTAATGTTGTGTGCACAGCTTTTGAGTGCATAGATTGCAGATGCAGGTAAATTGCTGTAGCTATTAAGTGCTCCTAATGATGAATTACAAATATGCCATGCACTGCCTGCATGAAGTACTTAGTACATCATGCAATTTGCAGTTTGTGTGCTTACATGAGGCACTCAGTGTGTCCAAAGTTAAAGAGAAACAATCAAATCTCTGGCACTGGAGATGAAAAATAACTTGGCATCTAAAATTTAAAACAAGTTAATGTTATGAAAAATAATAAGTCAATTTCTGTTTGCACAGGACTTTTCAGTGGGGCTGGCAGTTATGGGGTTCATTGTACAGCTCTTTCATAAATGATAGGACCAATAATCACTCTTTTATTGACATGCAAATTATAACTTAGGCTGCTTTGCATCTTCATTTGTTGGTAACATTCTATTCTATTTAAATGTGTTGGTTAGCTAAGCCTTTTAAGCCTTAATATTTACTCCATGGATAGGCATGTGATTTATGGATTAGGGGTCTTCTTAAAATATTCAAATTACTATGATTATTTGATTATTTGAAAACTTAAATGTACACACTTTTATTTCTGTTAAATCAAGTGTTTGCACTCTTTATCTGTTGAACAATATAAAAGTGGCAATGGCTCCTGGGAGAACTTGGAAAAGGTTTATCATACAATAACTGTCTTTCCTTTAATTTGCTGTTTTTAATTATGGTAGAGATATTCTGATATTAACCCTTTACTCCCAGGAGTGATTAAAAAGTAATTTCTCTCTACAATATCCATGCTCTATTCAGCAAACAGGTAATGTTAATGCTCAAATGTATCAGGTAGAAGTTGTTATCTTGATCTAACACCTAATTCTTGCAACTTATTTCCAAGAAAATGTGTAGCTGCTAGAGGGGAGAGTTAGCAATCAGATATTGGGAGTTAATGGGTTAAGCATGTTGGTCTATCACTAGCAAGGTCACAAGGTAAAGGTTTGCAAATGACTTGTAATGAAAGCTTCAGAGCTATTACATATAACAGTAAGAATCTTTTACTGATATAAGAATCATTGAAAAGTGTACAATACATATAGTTTATATGTGTTTTGTATTTTTCTTCCATTTTCAACAGAGTGAAACGGAACAAAGCCTCTGAGTTTATATATTAGGTGTGTGAATAAAAGTTACTGCAGTTTTGTTTTCTGTTTCCTTTCATTTAATGTTCATTTGGAAGAAAACTCAAAACTGTTAACTAAAGATAACTTACTAAAAAACAAACCCCATTATTCCATGTAGCATTATTATGATAATACCAAAAAAAATTGAAAAACCCTAGAAATATTATTTGTGACCTTTCTTCTTAAGTATGTTTTCATATTTGAAGGAGAAATTCCTTTTTGGTTCTTTGTGGGAGTGATATGGTGTCTTAAAGAAGTAAAATGAGCAGGTAAAATCAGCAAAGATTAGTCTACTTCTAGACAATAAAAATTATTCAATTTCTTGTTTTAACAGTACTATCATCGTTCTGCTGAAGGTTCTGGTATTCCTGAAATGATTAATTTGGTTTCCTAAATGGTGCAGTAGTGCAACACATCTTTAACCTCAGGACCATGGTAGTCAAGTTTTTCTCCTGTGTTTGTGCAATTGACGCAGGACTTTCTATCAGCCCTGAAGGTCCAATGATCCATCTTGGGTATGTTTTTCATTGAATGTTTGCTTATGTGTAATCAGAATAAGCAAGAACTGAAATTGTCAACAAAAGTCTTGAGATACTCAAAAGTAATATTGTAAGTTTTATAAATCATTATTAAGGTAGTTTTTTCTTTCTTGCAGCAGTCAACTCAAAAGATTCATTTTTCAATGTCCATTTGGCAGTATTAAATTATCTATTAGTTAATTATATAGGGTTCTAAAAGTCATAGAGTGAATGTTCTGCCTTTTAAAACTGACAGAACTCTCTTTTGAAAAATCAGCTCATCCAGATTTACCAAAAGGAAGAGCAAGAGGAAGAAGAAGTTGATGAAACAGTGGATTCTACAAAGCCAGGACTGTTTTACAGCCCACCAAAGTCTAATTATCAACCTCCAGGAGGAGGTGCCAATACCAGTGGCAATGACTCCTCAACAACTGATCTGATTATTCCTGAGGAAAGTAGTGATACATGTATTCAAAAGCAATAAGAGGGAAAGTACAGCTGCAGTAGAGATGACAGACACGGAGTAAGACATAAACATCGACGACATGAATGACAGTGCAAACATGGAAGCTTGTCTAGTATGTTTGTTTGTTTGTTTTTTTCACATGGGCTTGTTTGGGTCTGTTCAGAAACTGTGCCTTCTGGTAAATTATGTCAGTTGATTCATGATTATGGAAAGGGTTTCATTTAATTTCTCTCTCTATATTTGGTGCAGATACAAAATACACCTGGATACAAGAGAGACCTTTGTCATCTTATCATGAAACAGAATCTTTGTTGGATGGAAGAAATAGTAAGGGAGTTTTTTATTGATTTTTGTTTCTAAAATCAAGTCAGTTGTTACATATGTTTTGGTTTTAGTTGTCAATGACATATAGACTGCACTAGTGTGTCCTTATTACAAGTAGATGTATTAGTAAAGATTTTTTTTCACAGCTCCTGATGAAGCTCAGAATACTGGAGGACTTTTTACAGTATTAAATGAATTTTGGGCAACAGAACTTGCAGATGTTTTAATACCAAGAGACCAAGTGTCAGTTGGAGATCCTTTGTATAGAGGTTAGTTAGATGCAAAGAACTTTGGATGTTATTTCATTTCCTGGCACATAAACTTGCTTTTCCTCTTTTAAATTTTGATTA